TTTTTTTTTTTATCCTAAATGTTTATTTATTTTAAGAGAGAGAGAGAGAGAAAGCCAGGCAGGGGCACAGAGAGAGGAAGAGACTGAATCCCAAGCAGACTCCAAACTGTTGGCACAGAACTCAACGTGGGGCTTGAACTCACAAACTATGAGATCATGACCAGAGCCAAAACCAAGAGTTGGAAATTTAATCACCTGAGCCACCCAGGCTCCCAGAACTTCATAGTGACTTTGAATCTGTTCATCTTGTTCAACAACTCTATGATACAAGCCACATTGTGTTCCTGATTTATTTTTTCTTAAGTGTTTATTTATTTATTTATTTATTTGGGGGGTGGGGAGGGACAGAGAAAATCCCAAGCAGGCTCCACACTGTCAGCGCAGAGCCCGATGCGGGGCTTGATCTCAGGAACCCACTGAGATCAGACCTGAGCTGAAATCAAGAGTTGGCCGCTTAACTGATTGAGCAACCCAGGGGCCCCTATGTTCCTGACTTAAACAGATGAGGAATGGGAAGCTAGGACAGGTTGAACACTTTACCTAAGGTCACACCCTGCAAGTCTGTGAGGCTTCAGCGTTTAGCCAAAGTGACTGCAAAAGAGGCAGCAGTTGTGTTGCAATCAGTCTTACTTTTGGATCTCAGATTTGTAACTGTTAATTGTGACACCCTGGACAAGTTGCTTAATATCTCTGGACATCAGTTCCTTATCTGTCAAAGAGGGAATGGTACGAATAATCTCTCTCTCTCTCTCTGAGATGGTCTGCTGAGTAAAATACTGCATGAGACGGCACTTTGTACTGCATAAAGTAAGTTCTGTATATAATAGGGATTTCTATTAGCGTTACAGAAAGGTGGGGTGGGTGTGCAGATCCAGGGAACTTGGAACACCTGTGTATGGAGTTCTCCCTGCCTGTTCATTCGACACTGACCTCTCCTTTTCCTCTCATCTTCCCGGCCCGATACAGGTCTTGGCCACTCTGCTGAACTGGCATTTGCTGTGGAACCAAGCGATGATGTTGCAGTCCCTGGGCAGCCTATAGTGCTGGGCTGCAGGGTGGAGGGGACTCCTCCAGTGCGAATCACCTGGAGGAAGAATGGGGTGGAGCTGCTGGAGAGTACCCACTCCACCTTGCTGGCCAATGGGTCCCTGATGATCCATCACTTCCGGCTGGATCGGGGAGGCAGCCCTTCAGACGAGGGTGACTATGAGTGTGTGGCTCAGAACCGCTTTGGGCTGGTGGTCAGCCGGAAGGCTCGAATCCAGGCTGCAAGTAAGTGGACACCCTTTACTGTTCTTTCCCAGACTGGGTATCCAGGGCCAGCCTAGGGGATGGGGGCAGGGGAGCAGTACTGTCAGCCTTGTGGAGGACGGATTTCTTAGCGTGGGTCAGTTAAAAGGTACATAGTAATCATTCGTGGTGGTAGAATTATATCACATATTCTTTTAATTGATTGGAATGTAATTTGACAAGAATGTAGCCAAACACTGTTGCTGGGAGAGGGAGAGAAAGAGGGTGAGCCTTAGCCAATTGTTGGGCCGGTGTGCCTTAGCTTCCCGTATACTGTGAGCACCCAGGTCATTGAGTAGGATTCTCGTGTTTAAAGAAACAATAGTTGGGGCGCCTGGGTGGCTCAGTCACTTCAAGCGTCTGTCCGACTTTGGCTCAGGTCATGATCTCACAGTTAGTAAGTTCGAGCCCCACGTGGGGCTCTGTGCTGACACCTCGGAGCCTGGAGCCTGCTTCAGATTCTGTGTCTCCCTCTCTCTCTGCTTCTTCCCAGCTTGCACTCTGTCTCTCTCTCTCTCTCTCAAAAGTAAGTAAACACTAAAAAAAAGATTTAAAAAAAAGAAAAAAGAAACAATAGTCATACTTTATGAGTGATTTAAGAGAATTTTGAAGGGTGATTTAGCTACATGCCATTTTTAATTATGTGCTGACTTTCAAATCTTTTGGGTAGGATAAGACTCACTATACAGTAGTGATATTCTGAAGCTTGTCCACAATTTGTTTTGCAAAAAAAAATATGGCAGAATAATTTCAGGGTCACCACAATGATGACGTCACTCCCATTCACCTTCATGCTAATGTACTTGGTTTTTTTTTTTTCAATTTCAGCTTTATTGAGGTATAACTGACAATAGAATTTTAAAAGATTCAAAGTGCACATTGTGGCGACTTGCTATCTGATGTGTTTTGGATGGAGGGAAAAGGCCAGGCAAGGTGTTTCTGTTCTAGAATTGTGCTCGGCTTGCACTGACGGACCACCAGTTGTGATGAAGTGATGGCTGTGCTCTGCTGCCCCGTCCTGCAAAAATTCTGTTGTTCTTTGTGCACACTCGTGGGTGTGTAACCCAGACTTACCTATGGATCTGGTCGGTGGCAGGCTGGGGGGGTGGGGGCAGGGCGGTCCTGGCTGAGAACTGCTGCTCTTGAGAGAGGGCAAAAGTTTTAGAAGTGGTGAGTGTTCTCTGCCCCATAACTTCATACATCTAGGGGAGGGGTTGTCCACTAAAGAGGCTGATTAAAGAGGCAACACCTTAAAGGTGCTGGTAATAATTCTAGTTAACACTTAGCAAGCACTTGCTGTGTGCTGGGCTCCCTGCCTAAGTGTTTTTACATAAATGATCTCATTCAGTCATCATCGTGGCCCAGGGAGATAGGCAGTTTTTGCCCCCCTTTTACAGGTGACAGCACTGAGACTTAGAGGGATTCCATGACACTGCAGTAGGCCGAGGAGCCGGACTGCAGTCTAGGCTGCCTGAACCCTCCCCCCTCCCCCTGACTCCTGTGGCATGTTGCCTCTTCCCTGGTTGATGGCTGCCGAGTTTCTCCCTGGCTCTGAGGGCATGTGCACAGTTGCTGGGAATGACTGGTGAGTGATGAATCGTTCTGAGGCAGGAGCCCTCTCATTGAGTTTAAGATGCCCCTTTGTTCTAAAGAAGGCTGATCCAGGCCCCCATATGGAGCTCTCTGGACCTTGAGACGGAATCACTTCTGGCTCAGTGACCCCGCAACCCCAGCCCTCGGCGGTGTAGGGAAGGCTGGTGCATCCCCTGAGCAGATGGCTGGGTGTGAGGAAGAGAAGCGTGGACGTGGACACAGGGGTGGGGCCCCCGGGAAGATTTGCCCATGAGAGAAAGGAGATTTCTCAAGGTGATGACCCCCACACTCTCCCTGGCTTGTGTCAACACTGGCCCCTGCATCGCTGGCCTAGAATTCTGGGAGATAAATCCCAGGTGTTTATATATAGCTAATTGTAAATGTGCTTTTCTATAAATGGTAATACCTTCAAGATGTTTGGTTTCCTTAAACTCCCACAGTATCAGGAACTGAGCTGTGGCTCTAGCTGGGGGAAGGGCCGGTGGGTGAGGTCAGCCTAGTTAATCCTTTGGGGTCCTGGGGACAGCTGGGGGGTTGCCTCCAGGCTCTGGCAGTCTGATGCGGCCTCCCTCTCCGCCCCCCCTCCCCGCAAGGCTTGTGACCCCGTGGGGGAATGCTTGGATACCAAGCAACCGGGTGGCTGGATCTCCTTTTCTCACTTCACAAGCTGATGTCCCTAGAAACCTCTAAAGCTGATTAGCTGCCTGAGTTTTCTCCTTTGGTAATAACTCCCTGCCCATGTGCCTGCAGGCACTGCAGATGTTGTGTGACATGGGAGGGTGCCTTGCTGAAAGGTGTGAGGAGCCCTCTGGAGCCCCCTGCTTCTCCTGCCTGCTCCCTGGGGGCTGATGGGGAGGGGCCATGCTAAGCACGGCTCACAGACACAGTCCGCCCAGCCCCAGCGGATTAGCCTGGCAGGGCAGATAGGGGTCCAGGTCTGTGGGGGCAGCCCTGGGGGGCATCTGACCTTTGGGCCAAAGGCGACAGCTAGGAACGCCCCCTCTTCCATCCCAGTGGTCTCAGATGCTGTCATTCAAAGATGGCCTGACCAGGGTGGACTACACGGCAGGCTGATCCCTTGAGTGCTTCAGGTCCAAATACCTCCTTTTTAGGATGGAGTGGCTCAGGGTCCTGAGAGTATTCATGAGTCCAGCATGTCTGGGTTCTCTGCCTTGCAGTTCCATGTGCTTACAGTCTGGAGGCTGCAAATTAAGACATTTGTTAATAAGACAGACCCTGGACAAGTTAACCTCTCTGGGGCTCAGTTTACTCACCTGTGAAATGTGCATTTAATCCTACTCTGTGGGATGATTGTAAGGACTAAACACACCCCACTATTTACCTGGCACATAGGAGGCACTCAGTAATGGGAGCCAATACTGTATTCTTCATTTAAAGGTGATTTACAGACATCGCCAACAAAAGCAAACTGCCTGACTCTGCTCCCAGCCCCCAGCTTTCTCCCTCACTGGGATTCAGTTAGGAAGTACTCCAGGGAAATCTACCAGGGAGTGGAATTATTGGAGCCAGAGTGCAACTTGTTCTGTTTTAACTCCTTCCTGGGAAGGCCTGGGGATTCTCCCAAACCTCAGAGTGTGGGCCTCAGAGTGCGGGCTGAAGCTGGGTTGGCCTGTGAGACCCTCTGCCATCCCTCTGGAGGGCTTTGGGGAAGGCATGTGCATCACCTGACCCAGTGGGAATATGTGCATTGGCTCACACCTGTTGAGGTCTGTGCCCCTGGATGACCCCCAAAGAGGGATGGGCTATGGGGAGTCCAGGCGGCTCAGTCCCATGGAGTATGCTCTTGATCTTGGGGGTGTGAGTTCGAGCCGCACGTTGGGTATAGAGATATTTTAAAAATAAAGTATTTTTAAAAAAGAGAGAGAGAGATAAATGGGCTAGATACAAGGAGGGGAGATGATTGGAGCACCCACCCCCCACTGATATTCTCAGTCCCTGCCTTCACTTCCTGGTCTCAGGCCCCTTGGAGAATTGGAGCAAAGATCTATATGATCTAGACCAGGACTTCTCAAATCTTACTCTGCCCATGAAGTACCCAAGGAACTTGGTAAAATTCATATTTTGAGTCAGTAGGTCTAAGCCGAGGCCTGGGGTTCTGCATTTCTAGCAAGAGCCCAGATGAAGCCGACTGACGCCGCCAGTCCAAGGTGCTAGAGCAGAGCCCACCCCCAGGTCATGATCACTGCGGGGGAGGGGGCGGGTATGTGGGTGGCACAACAGTTGGGAGAACACAGGTGCAGGGCCAGACTTTGAACCCCAGCTCTGCCACTCACTGATGAATTACTGACCCTCTTGAGCCTTTGTGCCCTCATCTGACAAAATGGTCACAATCTCATCAGCCTATCAGGGCTACTGGAGGATCAAATGAGGTGATGGATATAAACCTCTGGCACAGGGCCTAACACCTAGAAAGTAATCATCAAGTAGTACTGTTAGTGCTAGGTAAGTGACCGCTAATTTAGGGTGTGGCCTAGCCTATCTCCATGGTGGCCAGGTTCTCAAAGAGCCAGGATGGCCTCCCTCCCAGCCTGGGGCTGTTCCGCCTGGGTGGGCCCATCGGTGGTTGTGAGGGTGGGCCGTGGAAGCAAATATACCCCAACTGGACGGACTTGGGCAAGTCACTTAACCTCTGGGAGTCTTTATTTTATAGATATAATATATACTTTTTATCTTTTTAAATTCCAACACAAGTTGTTTACACCCCACTTTTTATTTTATTTTTTTTAATGGTTTTATTCATTTTTGAGAGACAGAGTGCAAGAAGGGGAGGGGCAGAGAGAGAGGGAGACACAGAATCTGAAGCAGGCTCCAG